GTTTAGTGCGAGGTGTCCCTGCCCATGGGAGTGGGTTTGGAACTGAATGATGTTAAGGTCCTTTCCAACCCAAACCATTCTATGATTCTATGATTCTATTTGTAGTTAAAGGTTGCAACTAACTTAACATTCAGTGACAAAAAGGTCCTCAAAGCATTCATGAAGTACAGGGAAAACACAGGGCCACTGTGCAAGATGGGAAACCAGGAAGAAGGACAACTGCATGCAGCGTGGCAATGTGACTCCCCTAATTTCAATTGCTCCAGACACCTTTACAAGAATTAACAGAGATGAATCTGTGCAGATAGAAAAGATGTCATGTTTTTTTTTTTGCTTGGTATAGCAGTGATTGATATAGCAGCAGAAATCTTTTTGGAAATAGAGGTTCCATTAATAAGATCCATAAATCTTCTTGTACATACTCAGAAAAAAAAAATAAAATATAAGTAGCAGCTATCAGAAGTGAAGAATTTTGAATGTGTATTGGGACCAAACAAACTTACTATATCAGAGCAATATAACACAAAAGGAACAGCAGAAGGTCAGGTACTACTCTGAGTACTTTCCCAGCTGAAAACTATAAAATACATGGGAAACCACCATTGCAGAGTGCAGTTACCTGTCTACTTCTAACCACCATTTTGGTATTCTTAGATGTAAACATGGAGTATCGGGTCTTGCAGACATGATCCAAGAAATAGTGCTGCATTACTGTAATACACTGTTATTTCTTATACAAATACTGTATTTTCAGGGTGATTCTACCGGCAGCCGTAAGTTAATCTTCTTCTGAAACCACCTGAGAATGTTCATCTGGGCATTTCCATTTTAGCACTTACTCTGGCTGAAGAGCAAATGACACCAGGGCACATTTTAGTGGCAGTCAAGTTGTACTGGCTAGCAACTGCTAGAAAATTGACCTTAGTCCTTGCACACACTCTGTGTTCTCACTATTAAATAATAGACAAAAATGACAATTGGTGGGTTTGATTGTGCGAAATGTGTGGATGCAGAGGTCTCAGCTATGTCACATTTTCATCACCTTGAGAGGAAGCTGTTGCTTGATCAGCCCCAAATAAAAGCAGAAGTGAGAAAAGATCTACCAGGTCTCCTTGCTTCTTCTTAATGGCACAAGATTGCTCTTCCCATCTGGGTAATATGTACCATCAACAACAAAGCGCAACAGTACAATTTTCTTACATGGCATGTAAGAAACAAAACAGTCGTTGATTCCCAAGGTGATTACCAGCAATTTTACTTAGCAAAAAGGCACTGGCTGGATAATGTTTTACTTCAATAGTGGAAGCAGCAGGCCATATTGTGTCAAACTTTTGTAACCCAAAGTTCCCACTTAGTGGAGTTCTGTTTAAAAACATAACAACGTAATGTCAGTAGACATAAAAGCTACATGCTTCTATGTGCTGTCTCACATAAAAACATGTACCTGCAGATAATGTGATACAAAAGTAGTTAATATTGGTAAAAAAGTGAAAAAATATTTTCACTTTTGGGGAACAATCAGATTTTAAAAGGTCATTCCACACCTATCCTAGAAATGTTATCCCACTGCTTTCCAAAGAGTGCCTTCAGGTGTATAGAGATATATTTCTGTATTTACCTGGAAGAAGGAAGTAAGCTTTGGATAGCGGTGATAAATACAAGAACAATAAATGCACACACCAAGTTTGATTTGAATACTTCATCCCGCATTTGAGAATACTAGAATAAAACAAACAAACAAACAGAAGAGTATATTAGCTGTTAACCCATGCAGTACTTTCATAGAGACTGATGAATATAGGAGACTTTGGGAAAATTAGCAGGAAGATCTAGTAAATCAATAACCTGAATTTGTTTTAAAAAATTAAATACAACAAATAAATCATTTATAAGCTGGTGAAATATTTCATCCAAGAGAGCAAAATTCTGTAATTTACAATGCAAAGTTGTCTTACTTGGTTGCCTCTTTTTCAAAATTATTTACTTTAAATCCCAAGTAGATACTAAGGGCATGTGATGCTGAGTAGAATACTAAATATTTAATAGCTTATTAAAATACTTAATAACCAGAGGTACCATGGGTTTCCTCACCTGAAGACAAACACTGAAGTCAGCTACAACTCTGCATGCATGATGTCACAGAGGTGTCCCCATGCTGCCAAACTGAGACTACTCCATTTTATCTTTTACTTTTCTTACTTAAGACAAGAACACAGAATGGCACATTCTGTGACTATGTGGGATGTGGGTCATGATCTGTGTATCCTGACTTATCCAGAGGCTGTGCAGAAACTTGGCAACACGGGCATTCTCCAAGGAGATAATGAAGGTATTGTTATGTAAAAGACCATTTGAGGTGCAGTATTATTATGATTTATTGCAAAAGTATTTTTCTCTAGCATATCAAACCACTGGAAATGCTAGCAGGTCCCCCTTCTGTGGGAGTTACCAAGAAAAGGAGGAACAGATACATCTGTGAATCACGGTAGACCAGTTAAAGTGGAAATGCTACTGAAGTCCTCAGCTGGCATTTATTCAGCTAAACTCCAACTGATTACAGTAGATGAAGATTGGTCCATAGGCATATTTTTGTAAATCTCTTTATCCTATACTGATGCCACTGAATTTTCTTCACCTAATAAAGAATCCCACAGGTACCTCGGCCCAGTCATTTTCCTCATCTGCACAATAATTCCATTTTATTTAATCTCTTGTAGTTTTGAAGGAGCTAAGAGTTACACGTGCAGAATAAAAGGAGATCAGTCAAAGAGATATCAGAATCTTTCTTCAGCAATTTGGAAACAAGGAAAACTGCAGTTATAAATGCCTAGAGTGCATCATAACTGTGAAAAATTAAAACCAATTAAGAAATGTATCAGGAATATACATTGAGAGAGTTCAGCTCAGAAAGAACTGCATTTTCTAGCTAATCTACTCTTGAAGGAAGATTTTATCTATCTTAATCTATATTCACTACATGAACCTTTGGTAGGGACTTCAGGTCAGTTATAGATATTTGATCAAACAGTCTCAAGCTCCTGAAATGGGAAAAAGGCTTCTTTCTTCCCTGCTCCCACTTGTTATGAGTACAAGAGGGGGTTTATTTGCTGGTGTCCCTCATTTTGACCTCTCCTCTGCTGTGATTATACCCTGTGTCTGCTGTTGGCAGTATCATTTTGACATGATTTTTGGTAGTGCTCACAGGCAACCATTTTGCTGCTGGAAGCTCAGGGGCACTGACCCTGATTTCATGTGCAGAAAAACAACTGCATCAGTCCACTTAAATAATGGACTGGGTCTTTTTTTGGTTGCAGCATAAAAAGAACCGAAGGGAAAAAGGAAAGTACATTCCTTAAAATATAAAGTGAAATCCCAACTGTTCCTTAGGGAAATTATAGCAAACTAATTGAATGAAACACAAACATGGAATTGCCTGCTGTGTTGAGCATTATGTCAAAAGGATGAATGCTGTTGGTCTAATCTGTAACAAGGTCGTGATGAGAAATTGCTAGCATCTCTGAGGCAAGCACAAACACTAATGATAAACATAGCACTTCTGTAGCAGTCTACCCCTTAATGACTTAGAGAAGTTATTGAAGGATAGACTAAGCCTCAAGGCACTTCCATAAGTATGGGGAAGCATGTAGCTAACTATAGCTATGTAGAGTGGTAGAAAGAATCACGATGTGAACTACACTGCAATGAAAGCCTTAGCTGCAATATGTCTGCACTGGTGTGACTTGACTACGGGGTAGCGAAGGCTCACCCCCTCTTCCCATGGGGCTTGAGCCATTTGCCTGTGCTGCTGCAGGGGAACTGTTTATCTACTGCCTAGCCCAGCCAGCTAGCTGAAACTGAGCTTACATAAGAAAGGCAAAGTTTCCTCTGCCAAGTAATGCTGATTATTTCTCACCTCTCCTCTCTTTACCCAGGGCTGTTTGAAAAGGGAGTACTGGTAATATAACAGGCTTTACATGTTCACCTAGAAGACATATTTGTGCACTGGGGAGTAAGGTTTTTGGTCTTATCCTCACTGTTGATGTTTGACTCAGATAGGATTGTATTGATGAAAAGGAAGACCTTTTTTTTTTCCTTTTTTTCAGAGCAATGTTGTTTGTGCCACTAGAAAAGCTTCTGCAGTACAGGGAAGGGACAGAAGAAGATGTATCAGGAAGCCCAAGACAGGAGAAGAGATGGATGAACTCCTGAGAAGACCGAAGGGTAGACACAGGTTCAGTTGTTGACCAGTGACAGAAAAGAAGATGCTGAACAGGTACAGAATTTGCCCAGTGTTTTTTGCAGACCTTCTTGCCACTGGAAGTTTTTGGGTTGAAGAAAAGAGGTGAGGCTCATGTCTGCAAGGGTACAACAATTTTTTTCCCTACTCATTTGATTTCTATTCATCTTGCCCATCAGAAATTCTGAAACAGAGAAACTCAGATATTTAGGTTTAATCTTTGACCTAAGAAAACCTCTACTGTGAAATTCAAAGCCCTTTTGATATTTTCAGTGTGCTTACGTCACAGAAAATATGTAGACACTTCAACTCTAAGATCAGCCTCATTTATAATCCCAGTACAAATATGTAGGAAGACTTAGAATACCTTTATTCAAATCTTTACATTGGAAATTTTCCTTAACAAAAAACCCTGCCAGAATGTAAAATTCCCTGCCCTGTTACTATGTTTTATCTTGTATGAAATATCGTGTCTGATATTTCCAAGTCATTGCTATTAAGTCAGAGCATCATGATGATATCTTTTAATTACTGGAAATCATCTAAAGTAGTATCAGATTTTCCTTATGAGTGATCACATATTTGGAACCCCTTAGTGTATTTTCATGCTACTATCAGAAGTACTGTCCTGTGATTAGTCTTTTGCTCTATCTGCCTACATCATATTTATGAAAATAATCTCGAGTAAAATAGAGAGTGAATTCATCTTTAAATCAGATATCAAGTGCTAATGAGTGAAATACAAGTTAGTAGTGACTAGTCCATTTAGGTAAAGAATCTATAAAATATATTAGTCAGGGATCCTGCACAAATATTCTAAAAAATGAATTATTACAAAATTCATATGGAAATATATATGCTTCAAGGAGATAAACCATTCACTAGTGCGACTGCTACTGTTTGCTGTGGAATCTACATTTTTTCTATTACCAAGAAGGACATAAAACAGTGAGATGAGAGAGGAGTGGGAAGATATACCAACGGCTTAAACTACTGTGATATACCACTCATTTAAACCATTGTAAACCAGGAGCTGTGCTAGCTCCCATGGTAGTTTTAGGCATGCTGACTCTGGAATTTTGTTTTTAATCTTCTGAAACCTTAAAGGAAGTAAAATGGGACTTTCATTTCTAGTGTAAATCTGCTGTCTGCAATTGTTTTACAATAAGAAAGCCCCAGAGCAACCCAGACTGTTTAAACAGAAGTCCAGCATAACATTTCACGTCTATTCAAATCACCCTAAAAGATTTATGATCCCACGATATGGTAGTTCTGTTGGAATGCAGGAGGGAGAAATATAATTTAATGTTCACATGATTACTCTCTTCTCTGTGGTTTGGGGTTCAGAGCATTAATACAATTCTCATTGAACAAGGTTAACTTGTTGATCGAGATCTCAGCTATGGGTTCTGATTTTTCTGCCTACTGAGTAACTGTAAAGTCTGGGGTGAGAAGCAGTTACCGCTAAAAAGAAGAAGTATTAGGCAGATGCCAGTGCTGTCTGAAAGCATGATGGCTAAATGTGAGGGCAGAGGATTTTGCACAGAAGAAGTTACTTTACTTTGGAGCTACCTCTTACTTGAAGCTGCCACTGCTCTGAACAGAAGTGAGTGGCAGCAAATGAAAATAGCTGTGTGAGATGGGAGGCCTGTAGACATTGACTGTCTACTTGCTCAGCAACGCTGCAGGGAGCAGCTCAAGACGCTGATGTAGAAGGTCATGTAAGCAGCTGCAAAATGTCAATGAATGGCTAGAAAAAACCACCATTTTAGATGGAAAGGTTAGGGGGGCGAGCAGAGGGAAAAGGCTGCTGAAAGCTTTATGAGACCCCAGTTAAAATATGAATTTGTTCTGTTTTGTCTCCTAAATGGGAAGGAAGAAGGAAGAAAGTGATAATAATACAAGATAACATGGAGGAAATAGCTAGTTTCTGTAGGAAACCAGTTCACACATTGATTTTTTCATGACGGCTTTTAGAACAAACACTAAGGCTATTGGGATAAACCTGTAATTACAGAAACAGGCAAACAAGGAGGGAAGGGACGTTTCCCACATAGTTCCACAAGACATTAATCCTGTCTATAATGAAGAGGACACTGATTCATCTTTTCTTAATCCCTATTACCCTTGTGCATTGCCCATCCATCTCTGAGCATATTCATGGTAACCCACCACCCTGAACACAAGCAAGGAGGTTGCTGGCCAGCAACCATCCAGCTCTTCAAGGTGGATGAACCAAAGCAAATAAAGCAGTGTTGATATTTTTCAAAGCTTTACCTCTATGTAATGCTAAAAACCAGATCAATTTAGAGGACAGAAAAATGATTCAGTCCACTTTGCTGAAAGGATTTCGTGGTTCTAAGCATGAGCTTGCAGGTTGAGACTAACATTTAAGGAAAAATTGAATGAAAGCACCACTTTCCGAACATTGCAGCAGTTTTCCATTGAACATGTCATACTGAGAAGAAAATGAATCAAAACTGTTTAAAATGTTGACTTTTAAACAGGCTTTTTGACACCCAGATGCAATTAAAAGCTTTATTAATATTTAAAATGTGACCTATGTAATGTGCTGGATTAGAGCATGGTTCTTTTCCTCCCCCCTCGTTAAATTGCTGCTATATTTACCTCTTAGAAGAAGATGTTAAAAAAAGGATGCTTAAAAAAAAAGTTAACAAATTAGTTTTTACTTGAAATAAACATAGCAGTTGCCTAGAGGACATGAAATGGGTCCTATGACTAAATGAAAGAAACAGATCTATATAAATATAGATATATATTCTGAATAGAAGTGTCAGTTTATTAATATGCTAAATCACCGTTTGTGCCAAAGCAGCCTGTCATCTGACAGAACACTGCTTGTACTCAACAGCAAGTGAAACCTGGCAAGCGATTGTTGCTTTCGGAAGCAGACTTTGCTCAGTGTATGCATTTTCCAACACTGAAATGTAATCACTGCAGCATTGTAACACCTGCATCATGACACTGTCTATTATGACCTGTAGCTCAGTCCCAACTTCTGAAAACTGAAACAAAATGAAAAAGAAAAGACCAGAAAACAAACAACTCAAGCCAGAACCTACAACTTCTCGACTTCAGTGGACATTTATTACAGTTTGAGTTGCAAATAATGCAGCTACCAAGACCCAGCTACCTTATGCTCCAGGCTGGAGTCTTTAAACATCAGTGAAAAAGGCTTGATATGCTCTCTTCTCAATTTATCGCCACTCCGTAAGTCGATGGTGTGCTCTATTCTCTTGTTAATTTCCTCAGGCCCAGACTGGACATGCAAAGCTTGTGCAAGATGGTTTGGAAGCAGATTTATTGAATTTCTTGTTAGGGCAGCCAGAGTCTAGGGGAAAGCACATGCAAACAGAATAAACCTGCTGGTCCCCTTGGGTTAAAAATGCAATGTTTTAGATCATGTTGCATTGCAAACCATTACAGCATTCCATGCAATTCATTCAATGAAATTTATAGAAGTGTAAAAAAATAAGTCTGTTCCACTAAACACATACAGTACATTAAGGGGAGCACTTTAATGCCCTCTTTTATACAGGTTTGTTGCTGCCCTGCACACTAGGACAATATTCCCCTTTCCAGATTCTGCTAATTAATTATTAGAGCATGCATGAGGGGAGTACACACCAAAATCACAGCAGGGTATCTAGCTCAATGGTGTGTTTTAATGAATAAGAACAGAAGCTATAGAAAACAGAAGTCACAAAACAAGTCACAAAACCGAGTAACGATGTTTTTTCTTGATCTCAAAGTTACTGGATGTGTGTAGTTAAGGAACAGAACAGTTAAGACAGGAGTGAAGAAGGTGACATTTCTGGTTACTTCAGCATGGGTTTTCTTCTTCACTACTGGTATATTTTAGCCAGTCTAGATTACAGTTAGGCTATATGATTCAATTTAACTGTAATTCTTGTTATTATTTTAAATATTGTCTCAAATGCATAATTCCTTTGGTATTTCATTGGCTAATAGAAAGAAAAAAGAAAAATACTATTGCACAGCTTCGCAGAGAAAGCCAGCAGAGATAGTATGAAGGGTGCTTCACCTTCAGGAAAGAGTTAGACTTTGCTTTCATAAAAAGAATAACTCAATCCAGTTTTATGATATCATTTCATGACACAAACCACAGTGAAGCAGCACTTTTCCACTTGAATGAGAAAATAAACTCTACTACCTGTGATATTCCCAAGGATTAAGAAATGTTAATGGGTGGAAAGGACATAAACCTTCATACATCATAGCCTAAGACGTTTCAAAATTAGTATGGACAAGAAATACACTTCTGCTTGAGGAAAGTTGTCCCCATAGGTTCTTGCTGGAAAGATCTTCTGCTATATCTCCTACTGGGTGTTTTTGGAAACAGGAGTTTGGGATGGATTATCCCTAGGTTTCTCTGGAAAGCCAATTCTTTTGGATCATGGGATAGGTACAGCAAATGATATATGCAGATTTCCCTCGCATCCAAGTTATCGTCAGCAATTACATTCAAATAAATCTTGGAACGCGCATTAAAGCACAAAAAGGGGCTCAGGTACCCACTGTCAAACCCCAAGTGACAACTTTCTTTACAATCCTAAAAAAAGCTCATGGACTCTGTAGTCACAGATAGTATCTTGTTTTCTCATATTCCATCTTTTGATGAATAACTTAAGAGTCCAAAATAGAGGTGGAGAAGAATATCAGGATTGAAATCTTCTGTCTCTTTAAGTGAACAGCAATCTTCTTGTTTGCTTTAGCAGAAAAAAGAATTCAGTAGCAAAGATTTGGCAAACCACTCAAATGTCCCCATCTTCTGTGTAGAAAATCAATACCATCAACATTTGGGGAAAATAAGTATCAAGGAAACTTTTATCATACTAAAGTTTCAGATATGCCTGGATCCATATCTTATCCTTGGTGTTGAGGTAAATACTCTAAGCTTAGAGCCAAACCCCATAATCAACTGGATAAATACTATATTACTACACACAAAGACACTACACAATGATGCTATATTACTACACACTAAGTTTAGCTATTTCTGTCTCTTTCAAACTGAGCTATGAAGACAAGTTATTATCAATATGTGGTGGTGAAATTACACAAATGGGCCTGAAGTCACTGTTCAACAATGAGATCACATTAGATGAAGTTGTGTGCATTAATTCCTCAGAATTAATTCATATTGCTGTATCTTCACTAGAAGTGAGGATGGAGAAGTTCCCCAATATTTTAGGTGGGCACTGTGTTTTGTGTACAAAAGGAAAATAATTTCAATACATCTCAGTAGGCAACTACTTTTTGCTTCAAATTATATTTTAAAATTTGATTAATATGAAGAATTGTCTTCTTGCTGAATGTATGAAGTGGTTTACAATTGGTGGTAGATGAACATGACATAATATCAGCACTATGGCAATGGTACCAGTAGTATTGGTGCAAAAATGGACTCCGAAGTTGCACTTATTTTCAGAGGATAACAAGGAAATTCATATTCAAGTTCAGTGGAGTTCACAGGAAGATACAGTTGTGAATTCTACAACAGGCTTCTGAACTTTCCTGATGCTGGCAGTAACCATTCATTGTATAGGAATACATACAAGGTTCTGTTAGGAAAAACCCTAACCAAACTTACATCTAAGACTTAAAGACAGGATGAATTAAATCAAGCACATAATAAAACTCCAACTCAAGAGATATTATATAGAGATATTTAAAAGGTAGCTTGAATTCATTTTCACATCTTTCCTGCAAAGTTTTCATACAAGTCCAAGCATCCTGATCTCAAGAAGGGAAATTTTTAATCAGTGCCATTTAGAAAACTATAGGAAGGCTTCAGATTATTTTTTTTCATAATGCAACACCAGGTCTTGGATGGAAACAGGGAAATACAAAGTCAAATGTTTAAAGAGACAGGATAGAGATAGGATTTGGTTCAAGAGGAAGACACCTAAACGAAGGTGTCTGGGTGCTTGGAGTCTATTATTGGTAATATACACTCTGGCTACTTTCAATTGCCCTATAATACACAGCTATTGTCAGCTGACATGCCCTAGGGTATGCTGGTCAACAGTCGAGTGAGGAAATATGGCATAAGACCTATGGGAATGCCATGCACAGCTGGCCAGTGGTGGGGACCAGCTGGTGTGAGGCTGAATCAAGCTTTTACTTAGCATGTTTCAGCTAAAGAACCACAGGTAGGACTAGGCCCTTATGTTTAGAGATGTGTGAGAGATCAACACCTGGAATTGTAGGCACTGTCAGTAGGTACACAACTGCAGGCACTTTGATTTTGAATAGAATTTCATGCTGCTGTCCATACTTGTCTGTCATCTTGCCAGCCTTCAGGTATAATTCCTGTGGTAACTGATAAGATTCATTGCAGCCACCACTAAAATATGTTTGTAGACAACATAGACATTTTGATATGCTTTTTTCCTGATTCACATCATTACAGGCCCATCAGGTGCCTCCAGCACCACACACAGTGACCACATTATGCCTTCAGCTTCTTCTTTGATAAGGCTCACCGAAGAAATCACACTTCATCAGCTCTTAATTTCATCTATAGGAGGAGGCCTTCAGCCTCTTTGCATAAAATAACTTCTGTCTAACTTTCTTTGCTTTATGAAAGAAGCCCAGACATTTGTTTCAATAACAGAAGACTTCATCCATATTTGGCATGGTCTGAATTTCAGAGCAGACACTTCCATCCTTGGCTTACCTCATTAGAGCCAAGGCACATGGTGTTTAATGTGCTTTAGATGTGTGTAGCTTTTGTTAATGTCCGTGACTGCATACATAAAGTGGTTATTCTGTTTCTAACATATATCAACATATCTTCATTCACTGACTTGGGCTGCCCATAGGAAATGTGTTTGAGGTATAGAATATGGTTTGTGATGAGTTTGAGTTTGCCAAGAGAACTCACCAGGGACTTTGTCTTCTCATATTCCTCCTAACTTAACTACAGCTGAAAGTAAGACACATGTTCAGAGATGCTCAGATTTTGTTGTAACATATGTTAGGTAAATAAATCAGTTGAATGCTATTGGCAAATATTAAAAAATATGAAGTGATTCACTGGCTTGCTGCTACTTGGATTCTCAGCATCTGCTGCTTTTAGTGAACTTTTGGCTACATAGTTAATGTTATTAAATGCTTATTCTGTCCAAGATGACACACCTCTGGAAAAGCTAGTATATCCTAGTATGGTTTAAATCTACCATCTGAATTTTGAGCTGAAATACATTATTTATGAGCAGTAATGCTATTATCTCAACTTTAAAATTGAAAATTATATAATAATTGAATCGTACATTTTAAAATCTTGCCTCCACCAGAAAGCTTATTTTAAATCTGGGTAATATAAAATTATAGCTATTTCCAGCACAAAACCAAGTTCTTAAAAAAACTGTGAGAAATTATTCTAAAAATGTTTATTGCCATAAGACAAAACTCTGCTTTACAACAAACGCCTATTTCAATGATTTTCATGGGCTTTTTACTAGTTTATTGAGATGGAGTTGTTCAATAATCAAATAAAACCACTAGTCCTTTATCTCATTCCTTGTTTTTGTTAATATCAAGGTCAGGTTTAGCTGAGGAAATGATCAATGAAATGGTAGCCTACTCTGCATAGATTTTTTGGGCTACAGAAATTGGAATGTCTTAAAAGGAAAGAAGTAGAAATAGACATCAGAAGATATTCACAGCAGCATGCACCTATACCTCTATTCCTAATGAAATGAGAATATAGAAACGGGCCAACAAATACAGAGAATACTAAAAGGGAGTGTACATGCAGATACATAGATGTACAGAACATATATAAAACAGGTGTTTTATATAACAGAAAGCTATGCCATGCTCCATTTCTGTTTGAAGAGACGAAGACACCACCATGGGTTGATTGACTGTGAAGGCTTTACACTTCTGAGCAGATTTGTAAGAAGCAGAAGACAGTTGACAAAGCGAGACCTCCACATAACAACGATTGAAGTTCAACAGACACTGCAGACAAGTAGGACTAAGGATGTGCAGCAGAAGAAAGGATATATCATGTCATTAAAGATCCCTCAGTAAAATGGAAGAAAACTCCAGCTGACTTAGTTTCATAAAAACTCCTCAATCTTTCAAATGCTGTGAAGAGTGGTGTTTGAGGGCATTTTAACCTTTCTGTCTGTAATTCTCTAAGCAAGCAGATTTGACCAAGCTATTTTTATGACTGTCCAAGAATTGCTAGTTCCCAGGGTGCTAGCAATTAGCCATGCAATGCTGTTCAAAAGGATCTGATCAGGAGCAATTGTTATTATCTCATATTTCTATTGAGCTGCACTTAACCTTAGAGTGTAACTCACCTGCTTGTGAATTTTAATTTTGTCTTAGAATCTAAGTTACTAATAATTTTTACTAAAAACTAAAAATGAAGAATGGATGAGTTGTTTTCACAAAGTACTGTTTAAAGGTAGACCTTTTTCTTTCCCTTGTGTATGAATAACCTAAATTATGCTTTATTCCTCTGGCAAAACACCTATTCACTCAAGGCAATGCAGTGAAGTTATGCAATGAGATACACACTCTGATTATAATGTCCCAGCTAGTTTAGTAATGTTAGCTTTGTTTTACTTTTAATTTACTTCTTTATGGACTGGTTCAACTAAAACTAAGCTGTGTATGTAGTATTTAATTTCAGTTGGTAAAAACCTCTGGTCCACTGGCATTTCCCCAGTTTGAATATATGATTTATTTCTGCCCTGAAGTAATTTGTTTAATCCTCTGCTGTTACAGTATGTGTTAGAATAAAGGTTAAAGATGAATATGTCTCCTCTGAGGCTTCCATTATTGAAAGGCACTCAAGCATGCACTCATACTTGATTACATTAAAAGATGTTTGACTTACGTTCTGTTTTCCCACTATGTTATCAAATGGAAGTTCAGGGCTCCAAGATCCTTCAGTAAACGTTGCTCCACTGTTTCTCCTGTCGGAGGAGCTGACAGCCTCTTTCACAATATCTTCAGGCAAAGTCAACAGACTCTCCTCAGGCTGTTTAATTAAATAAGTCTCGATGTTATGTTTCCTCAAGAATTCGTTACGCTCTTTGCCATGCCCTTCTTCAACTTTATAATCCCCATTCAGGCAGTCCAGAGTGGCTTTGGAGATGTGAATTCGCCTGTGTGAGTGAAATAAGTAGTAGCAAATACTGACTGTGCTCTAATATACATAGGTAAGAAGGAGTTTATGAATTCTGTATCATTTTCAATGTGATGAAAAAAATAGGTTTTCTATAGTATATGATGACTTCTATAAAGAAAATTAAGTAGTGTATTTAACAAATATAAGCTTCATTTGGGGGAAAATACTCTTAAGACTTTACATCAATAGGATCTCACAAATGCACAATGTCCTGTCACAGGAAAATCACTTTGATATTCACACCTGATACCTCTGCTTACAGTAGTAGCTTAATGGCAGACCTTCCTGAGTAAAATACTATTCATAGTGAATTAAAATTGCCACTTATGGTGAGAGGTGACTATCTCTGTGCTGAGTTTCAACTAATATAGTTATGGAAGATTGCATTATAAAGTCCTGAGATGTGGATTTTATAATGGAAATGATAACAGTTTTAACTAGAACGTAAATCTGGCTACTGATGTAATACCCTTAAATGGACCAAGTATTAATAAATAGTTGGTAGATTAAAACTATTTTCTAGTTTCAACTTTTGTACAGCTTGCTTAAAGAAACTAAAAGTGTGTAGTGGAGAGACATCTTTCTAATTTTATGCAAATACTTTAAATTGGGAAGCTGAGATTGAAGTAGAAGTATAATCTGTCCTACTGTTGAAAATACGGCAGGACCAAACCTTTAGATGATACCTGTGATTGATATATCACGGAAAATTCATAATTAGCTTTATTTTATGCCAATTCAATACCATAGATTAATACCTAGATATACCACATGAAGACTATTACAAGATGGGTTCCTGGCAGAAGATTGTCTCTGAAATAATACTATAGGATCTTACACAGTTTCCCTCTCAGGTGTTGAGGACGCTTTATTCCTCTCAGTGAACCAGAAATAAATGCTTTTTCTCAGTGCTGCCCACTGTCTCTTTCAACTACAGCTGAACTGCCTTCCTATGCTCATTCACTCAGGGCAATCTGTCCCTGCATGACCCATGTTTAGGAGGTCCCAGGACAATATGCAACCATAGAGGGGAAGAGCCGAGCCCCCTCTTTCCTGCCCCCAGGCTGTGGATCCTCGGTGGCAGGATCCTCCCCATCCTACGCAGGCAAGTTGCTTCCCTTCCGCTGTGTGCTCAGGAAAGGGCTGTATTTCACGTTGTGGGAGCAGGAGCACTTATAACCCCAGAGCAGCTTATCTGATGACACAGGAAAGCAGTGCAGTTCTGGGAATGGGAATGATCTCAGTATTGTGGCAACCAGAGGGATTTGAATGCTGGCAGTGGGGAGAAGTAAGGAGGGGCTGAAGTGAACTTAACTGCTCTATTAAATCTCCTCTGCACACTAGGAAAGCCTGATGTAAATCATTGTTTTGAGGGACTTAGTGAATTGCTGTCACATACAGGCTTTGTTCTGTTGTCAAACTGATATACTGGAGTGGAAACAACTCTGATTCAATAGACTGCAACCCAGCCAGGCATTTTATCAACAGCAAGGTGGTACATTCTCTGGATTATTCATTAATAGCCATACTACTTGCATGAGTTAACAGCAATAAAGTTAACAAAGCAGCATGTAACCTTTTCTAGTCTGGGGCCAAGATGTGGGATAAAGCAGCTTGGAAAGAAATTTTTTTCTGCAATTTTATACGCTGGTGACATAGAGAGAGTATAGATGTTTTCAGAGCATTCAGTGTTTCATTTTCTGCTGATTCTAAGATTATTTATTGATATAAAGGTCTACTGTAGGGAATGGTGGAAGGGTACTGCATTTGCAAATACAATATAGAGCAAATACCTTTCTAACTTCCTGAAAATGACAGCTATGACAGATCCTGATGTTTGTGTAGGACGCACAGCACATGACTCAAATTTGATGACTTAAACCCTCTCTCACTCAAGATGACAACATCACTTAGATTTTTTTCCGCATAATAATATCTGCTGCTATTGCTCCAATGTTCCATGGCCAAAAATTGAATTGTTGTAGGGGATCTTTTGCTGCATCTGTCATCAATGGATGGGGGAAATGGAAAGGGACAAAGGATTCCTGCAACCACTACTGTTGCTTGAAATCTAGGATTTACAGATTCCAAACTACTGTAAGATCATGTCAGCCAGAAATAACATTCTAATTTCCAGGTGAATCAGCCACCTCAGACAAAGAAAGACTAGGCAGCTCAATGGAAAACCATATATTTTCACATACAGACAGGTTGACATAAATGTCTCAAGACATGTACTACAGCATCAAACTATTGAAAAGACTTCCTAGACAGCCTGCTGTCCATAACATCTTGTTGTTAGTGTAACAACCTATGAACATATAATTCTTCCCACACTTTGTGCATCATGAAATAAAATAAATTACAGCCTTGTGCCTCTGACAACAGCATTTTAATGCACAGGATGAGAGAATGAAGCCTGGAAAAACTCACGAATAGTCAACTTCTGAGAAATTTGGGCTCTGAGTTATAGTTGATGAAATAATGTAAGACAGTTAATCTGTTGGCAAGGTTAACAGTATACTGTGTTGGCAGTGTTTTCTGACTGTTGGGAATACACGTTGCCTTACCCAGGAATTCCACCTGACTCGAGTTTGTTTGCGATATCCACGTCCCATGACCAGACATCAAACTGCCATTTTCTCAGGCCCAACACTCCACACAGAACCGATCCTGAATGTATCCCTATTCTCATGTCGATGTCATGCTTCGTTCTTGACCTAACATATCTGTTAAACAAAACAAGAAAGAAAAAAAGACCAGAGTCATGAAAGTAGGTGCCACTTTTTTTATCTCTTTTAGGAAAAGGTACGATATAAAATACATTGTCAATTTGTTATTAAGAACAACTTAGTCTGTAAAATGAAGTGATAAATTTCTAGGTAACAAAGTACAGGTTGTGATAAAATGGCTCTAAAAGCCAGATTACCATTAAGTGCTTAATGGCACACACGGTTCAGTGGCACGTGTATTATTCCTATCAGAAAGGGAGAGATAGGGAGAGAAAAGGAAGTCAGGGCAAAAGGATTTAGTTGAACTTACTGAGTCTTTTAGCTTGGAATTACAAAGGAACATTCAAAAACATTACTGAAACTATTACCAACAAACCTGCATATACTTTTATATTTTATTGTACTTTCTGGAATAATTTGCAATATTTAAAAAAGTTACTTTATTGACTGAAATTTTCCAGAGTTACTCTTTGTCCAAAGGTGAATTATTTTTGGCAGATTTGGCCAGAACACCATTTGCTGTGTTATGATAATGGTGTCAGTCTAAAATCAGTTTCTTCCTTTGTGCGTAATGGCAAAAGACCATTTCACCTCTCAAAAGTAAACATGTGGGCATATTTGTTAACACTCTCAGAAAAGGGACTTTATCACTGCAGTGTTTTCAATTAATATGGCTATTGATTATAAAGAGAATTTTACTGTGTTAAAACAGTATTTTCCTCTTCTGTTATGAGTTACAGGTACTTTCACAGCCATAGGCTCTTTAGTAGTGTCTTAGACCAAGGACTGCTTCTTCCTCATCAGTATTGACATAGTGTAGCACATCACTGTGGGAAGTTCACAACTGAAATAATTGACCTGTACCCATTGAGATGACAAAGAGAGCACTTTTCCAGTTTTGCCTGCGTGACAACAATTATTTTTACCAGCAATACAATAGAGCTAGTGTTCATTAATATTTGAATAGCATGCTCAAGACGGGAAAGTGTGTTGCTGCTCTTGGTCTACAAACAAGGCTGCTGTTTCTCTGTAAAGGGTTCCAGTTCTACAGCCACTGAAGTCAATAGGAGTACAGCAAGATTACACAACACAGAATGCAAAGAACAAACAGCTCTGTTTCACAATTCTGAAGCTAACTACCATTGCCTCAGATGCTTCAGTCATGACTTTGGCAGACTCTAGAGGACAGAAGGGTAAACTGCTGGACATTACTGCATACTTGGCCTTTGTTGCAATGGGGCATCAATTCAACTTGTGAGAAAAAAAAAAGACAAAAGAGTTTTTAAATTAAGAGAAACAAATCATATAAAAATGTGAGGAAATGAAAATAAGAAATTCATCTTTTATTTCCCTTTCCTGCATATTCAAAACCTTGGAGAAAAGCATGCACATGTTAAGTCCCAGTGCAGTAGTTAGCATACAACAAGATCTGTTCATCATATCAGTAAGCTAACATATTTCAGATATCTAAACAGAACAGACTTTAAAAAGTTAATCATAAAATAATAACAAAGCTTTGAGAAGGGATTTGTCTGCTAAACTATCTTCTATTATAAACTGACTTTATAGTTTTAATTTACAAATATCTATATGGTTTTGCAATCCAGAGGGCTTGAAATATCAACATCAAACAACCACCTGTTTCTGGAAGATGGGATATGTAAACAACTCTTCCACACTGAATTAGTGCCTTAAATGTTGTGAGAACAGCTAAGAGAAGTGAGAACACTGCAGTTTGTAATGTGTTTTGAAGATTTTATACATATGCTACAAAAATACCTAAACTAACGCTTAATCAGTTCTGGCCTCTCACTACAAGAAAAACATTGAGGTGCTGGAGAAGGTCCAGAAAAGGGCAACAGAGCTGGTGAAGGATCTGGAGCACAAGTCTTATGAGGAACAACTGAGGGATCTGGGGTTGTTTAGTCTGGAGAAAAGGCAGCTCAGGGGGGACCTTGTTGATCTTTACAACTGCCTGAAAGGAGGTTGTAGTGAAGTGGTTCTCAGTCTCTTGTCCCAAGTAACAAGAGATAGGACAAGAGGATATGGCCTCAAGATGTGCCTGGGGTGGTTTAGATCAGATATTAGGAAAAATTTCTTCACAGAGAGGCTGGTCAAACACTGGAACAGGTTGCCCGGAGAAGTACTTGGAAGCGTTAAAAAAACATGTAGATAAGGCCCTCAGTGATATGTTTTAGTGGTGGTCTTGGCAGTCCTGGGGTAATGGTTGGACTTGATGATCTTAAAGGTCTTTTCCAACCTAGCTGATTCTATGGTTCTATGAGAACTGTCAGAGGAATTATCACACAACTCCCCACAGGATTGTTTCCCTAGTCTGCTTTTTCCCGTTGTTCAGACGAAGATAATTATTTCTTGTTTTATGTCTGATATTCTTATCTTGAAATAAAAATCTAATAGGATATAGATTAATAATTAAGCAAAAAGCTTTTCATTGAAAAATGCACATATAGTATATATTTATGTACTATTTCTCTCCATATATATAGACCAATTTAGATTTTTAAGTACTATAGTATTTAATTGCTAATAAATACTAGTATTTAATATAGGACAAATACTAGCATTAAGCAAACATCAATGGCTTTGAACTTGACAAGTCCAAATGCCAGATAGAGTAACACTGGACACATGTATAAACTGGGAGAGGACTCCTCCATCAGAGGAGGTTCAGACTTGACGTTAGGAAGCATTTCTTTACTGAGAGGGTGGTCCGACACTGGAACAGGCTTCCCAGAGAAGTATTCAACGCCCCAAGCGTGTCAATGATTAAAAGAAATGATTCTTATTCTTATAGTCTCATTTATTAATTTTAAATACTATAAATTATAGTCTTGTATTGTATTCTATATAGAAACTAACACTTGGAGAGTCCAGGTACAAATGATGGTGGAAGTGAGCAGTGCCTCCCACTGTTTCCAGAGTGTTCACTAATGATTGTTGGATTTTAACTTTTCCTCTGTCACAGAAATGTGGTGATGGGCCTGAAAAGGCTTTGGCATTCTCAATCAGCCATGTAGGACTTACGCATTGGTTCAAAACCTCACATAGCTGTGCTGTTCACACTGCTTCCTGCATAACACTGCAGACTCTACTCAAGGTCATATCCCCCTTGTCTTATCTGTTGTCTTTCACATCCTCCCAGCAACTTCTTCCTCTGTGCTGCTCAGGTGATACTTGATCTCAGCTCTTCATCTGCAGTCAGTGTGGATTTGGCTACCTGCCCTCACTGTTTGACTGAAGGCTGTTCTCTTTTTCTGTGCTCCGGTGCTGGTGCACCTGCAGGGGCCTATCTTCACATCCTCCTCTTACTTGCCCTTCACAGCAATGTTGATAGGTAGGAAACTAATTGCATGAGGGGATCTGATTGAATCGAGCCACAGGCTGTCTGAGATATATTTAAAAAGGCCCTGTCCAGAACATGAATCAAAGCATAGCAGTGATGTAGTCTCACTCCCATTGCTTCATTATTTGCAATGCAAGACTGAAAGCAAAGCTGCTGAGAACCTGTTTGTGGAGACATTAGTTTTCATTAAGCTTTTGTTGTAAGGTTTTAAATTAAATTAAGACTAAATGGTTGTAGTTTAAAAGCGATGTGATTGATTGGCATGTAAAAAAATAATGGAAATATTATTTTTCTTTAAAATTTGGAGTAATGTATGGTGAAATAGATTTTGGATTTATGCATAGAAAGGAACTTCATCATGGTCAAATCCAGCTCCCTAACAGTCAGACTACCACATACTTTAGAAGGTCTTTATATACTGCTATAAGAAAAAAATCAATTTAAAAAGTTGAAACAAGAAACCCTGGATCATCTTCATCAATATGGGTAATTCTCATTTATTCAGAAAAAAACTTCTCATAAGTACTACCATGTACCACATACTGAAAAACCCAAAAAGTGTTTGATTTGCACAAGCTCATGTGTTCCACATATTTCAGTTCTTCTATCTATTTATTTAACTGTCAGTGAAGTCTCTAATTAAAAACAATGTAATTTCTCCAACTGCTCTACAGGCTCTCTGCAAATACTTTGACAAAGCTCACACATGAACCTGCTTTACTGATGATCCATAAAGCAGCCCTGTTTAGCTCACAAGCTGTCTGATATTTTATCCAGGATGAAGCAATTGTGACTGGTGATATTCATCCCAGTCATCTCATTTCAGTCAAGTCAGTGTTAAAAACTTCGTTGATCTTAATTGGATCTTGACATTTCCTTCTGGTCATCATTCTTTGATGGGTATTTTATTCTTGTGCTGTTAATCAGAGGCTTTCCTATTTGCATATAAAAGGTGAGCCAGAAGTCAAATCTGTTTTTCAATCTTTTCTGTAGCTGCCAAAAATCTGAATGCCCTGGAATTCATACCTTGCAGGTTCAGGCATTGACACATCGGCTACATCTGTGCTGACCAGTTAAACTGTGCAAGGTTCTGCCTATGCTTTGAGATACTTAAACCTGCCCCAGAATGTTTTTATTTTCTGGTCAACTAGCTCTCTCACAACCTGCTTTCAGTGTCAGCAGTTTGCATGTGACAAATATCAGTTCCCATTGGCAATTTGGAAGCAACTGCCCAGTTTTGGAAGCAAGAAGAGTTGAGAAGAAGGGAGTTGGCCACTCTGTGCCACTCTTCCTTGGTGACAGCTAAACATTCCCTAGGGCTTTTTGATTTAGCCATTAAGACCTAGCGACTACACTCTGATGCAGATGTAGTAGGAAATTCTATGTATTCTGGTTGGAGTAAATAAGGGTCTTAGCTGACCCTGCTAAGCAGAAGATTGGACTAGTGATCTCCTGATGTCTCCCTCCAGACTGAACTGTCCTATAATTCTAAGGTTCAATTACATAGAGAACTTTTTCGTTAGACTCAGTAAGATTGTGGAATTTTCCTGAATGAACTCAAATGCTTTTTTGGTGCTGACATGAAAGAACAGTAAGTGAACTGAGGTAAGTATTCTTTTTGGTGTGATTGTGGGAACTGTGTCATGCTTGCAAAGAATGCCAGCCATTATTTTTAAAAAACTAGGAAAGAGGATGCTCTAAACTACTGAAGAGTTCAAAGAATATAGTTCAGGTTATATGACTCACAGGATGTAACACTTTGTAGATGGACTTTACACAGTACTGAATTTACAATTTAAGGTAGATATTATCTCAAGAAGCCAGTTTAAATAGCTCCAGGGTGAGTTTACCTTGGAATTAAGCTATATTCCAATGTCAGCACAAACTATTATCTGGAGAAGTTTCATATCATGACTTATCCCTAATACAACTGACTTGCTCTGAGTTCAGGCACTATAGCAACATGGACAGAGTTAAACCACTTCTGTGTTCCTGTTTCTTATGTTTATCTGTTCTGAAGGGCAGGAAACTAATATAGCACAAGGGATTACAAACAATATTGCCATAAGTCTGCTTTTTCATTTGAAAACTATGTTATAAAAAGCTATATGCCTCCTATGCCATCTTGCCAATATAGTTTTGATTGCATTTGATAGCACATTCAAAGAAAAGAGGTCTCAGAGGTACACAAACCTATTAATCTCTACCCAGTTCAATTCATTTAGATACCCAGCAGCAAAACCTGGGACAGATATACTGTCCTGATGCAGTCTGTTCATTCACAGTCAGTGGCTGAAATAGACAAGTGGAGGTGTCAATGTGATCAAATCCCAGCGTGAAACCTATTCACTCTGTGGCCTGTCTGAAAAGCATTGGCTGAACTTGTGAATATCTTGCAACACCCCTTTCCACCTCCATACAGAAGTGAATCATAGAATCATAGAATGGTTTGTGTTGGAAGGGACCTTAAAGATCATCTGGAGTTCCAACTCCCCTGCCATGGGCAGGGACATCTTCCACTAGACCAGGTTGTTTATATGAAGACAAGCAATAGTTCTGGGTTTTTGAAGCATTCCTCTGTCTTCTGTGAATCAGGGATCATTCCATCATGGGCGGAGCCTTGTGCATTATAGAAGAAATAATCCGTGCAAGGAATCCAGAACTGGATCAATTGCATTATTATATAATTAAATAATGATTTATTATTAATAGAATATGAAAGCAATTCCTGACTGTTTCATTGCCTAAGTAACTTCTTTAACAAGCATGGATCACTTCATCTTTTAATTCTTTTAATATCCAACAGATGGATTTAAAAGCAGTGGTTTGTGCTAAAGGCAGGAAACCTGCCAGGTCAGTCAGTGAGATTATCTGAAATAATCATAGTGTTCTGGGGGTGGTTTTGGTTGCTTTGGGTTTTTAAATTGTATTTATTTATTTATTTTCCCCCCTTTGGTTTGGATTGGAGTTTTTTTGTTTAGCTTTCATTCCCACTCTCCCTCCCCCCCCCCCCCCC